TGTTGACAGGTGCTGGGAGTAGTCAGAATGTTGACAGGTGCTGAGAGTAGTCAGAATGTTGACAGGAGCTGAGTAGTCAGAATGTTGACAGGAGCTGAGAGTAGTCAGAATGTTGACAGGAGCTGAGTAGTCAGAATGTTGACAGATGCTGAGAGTAGTCAGAATGTTGACAGGAGCTGAGTAGTCAGAATGTTGACAGGTGCTGAGAGTAGTCAGAATGTTGACAGGTGCTGAGAGTAGTCAGAATGTTGACAGATGCTGAGAGTAGTCAGAATGTTGACAGGTGCTGGGAGTAGTCAGAATGTTGACAGGTGCTGGGAGTAGTCAGAATGTTGACAGGTGCTGAGAGTAGTCAGAATGTACACATGTGATGGGAGTAGTCAGAATGTTCACAGGTGATGGGAGTAGTCAGAATGGTGACAGGTGCTGAGAATAGTCAGAATGGTGACAGGTGCTGAGAATAGTCAGAATGGTGACAGGTGCTGAGAATAGTCAGAATGGTGACAGGTGCTGAGAGTACCGTAATCCTATCAATTCGACCCCTCTATTAGTTGGACCACCTAATTTTGTCTGCAAAAATATTTTTTGTTTTTTCTTTTTTAGTCCGGCCACTCACAGGAAATGGGGCATTCAAATTGCTATCATCCCAACGAATGTTTCTCGCAATGAATAACAATAAAACAAGTTTACTATGTTTGTCTTCCTGTGCATTATTCTGTCACTTCACCCTCTTTTACCCACAAAGAAACAATGAAGTCTTCCAGACATGGCGTTGACTGTGTGAGCTTTGATAAACCCAAGTGCGTCTTTGTGGGGTCAAACTGGTGTCATATGCTAATCACTTTCACTGTTGCGTGCAGCGTGATTTATGATTGCCGGCAATTTAGACAAAAACAAAATTAATGTAAATGAACTAGTAACCACAATTTTCCTACCACTGGGCCTATAGTAAATTTGATAGCGGCACACTAACATCCTGTGAAAAGATCATGTAATGTAATCAATCATTCAGCTTGTCAGTCTAAAGGCATTTATTGTTTACTGCAAATATGCTAATGAGGAGATAAGTGGAGATGCGCATTTATTTTAAAACATGCTAATGAGGAGACAAAGTGGAGACGCGTTTGAACTGAGACAGTGCGTCTTTGGAAGTCAAACTTGTGTTGTCTGCAAAGAAACATTGGATCAACATTGACCTGTGATGGCTGTAAAACAATCATGTAACAAATTATTCAGCTTGCATTTAGATTTTTCTTTAATTTTTTTTATTACAAGCAATATTACTGTGAAGTATTCACCAATGTTTTGCCATGCTTTTTGACTGCTGGCCATTTATCTAGTAGTCACGGTGATTAGAATGAAGTTTTATATAAATTGAAGTTGGTAAAACATTTTTAGGGCCACCCCACTCTTTCAAAATATGCCAAGCAGTAAAAAAAAAAATAGTATGAGAAAAAAATTGAGCGAGTGTATGTGTTATTA